CTGCTGACCTTCCAAAGGAAAGTGGGCCTTTGCTGCATGCTGTTCCCTTCCCGTCATGCAGCATTTGTCAAATTCCCCAAAAAAGTCTACTTTGCAACATCTTCAGTCCAATAACAGTGAAAAAAGCAGATGAAATTTTGCAACATGATTTGGTTTTCGGCAAGCATATCTTTTAAAGAAATAGCTCGATTCTGCTGAAAAAAGTATGCTAGGCAAGCAGAGAAGCTTTGTTTCTAACTCGCTCGCTCTCTCTCAGCCCACGTGTCTGCCATCTTTGCCCCCACTTTCCTAAATACATCTATGTCACTGAAAGGACGTAATCCTGGGCTTTTGGCCAATATCCTGGGCTTGAATTCCCACACAGAAAAGCATTTACTCAGGAAAATAATATCATGTGGCAGCTGGTAGGCACAATACTACCTCTACTGCCAGAATGCACTGACTCTAAATGAGGCTGAATGGCAGATGGCCTACAATGTTTTAGTGCTTTCTTTCTCTAGACCAGGATTACCCAATTAATTTGTACTGTGGTGGACTGGGTTATTTTAGTAGGTCCTGCTTGAAGGATGGGATGTGTTGGCTGTAGCACTGCTGGACTAGGCAAGATCTGCAGGGGGAAAGGCTGTGTCTGCCTGAATCAGTGCTGAAACAGCAGGCTCCTGATGGGTCAGACAGGTGGGGAGGAACGTGGGACACCAGAGACATCAGCTGTTGGGGCCAGGTGAAATGTATTCATGGCTCAGATTGTGACTGGAGTCCACGCTCTGAGTAGCCCTGCTTTAGATGAAGGGTGACATTTTACTTGCTAATGACGCTTTTACATGAACGACACCTGCAGAGGTTGTTTTATGTTACTGTTTTTTGAGTGTTGTCCTTGCGTGTGGTACTCAGTAGGCCTAGAGAAAGGCCTTCTGTCTCTCATAATTCATCTCCAATGTTATCTTCTTCCACTTTATAAAAAGTTCTAGAACAGTCTAAGTCCTACCCAGATACTGCAGTTTGGTGGTATAGGTACAGAGGATGAGAATTCAGTCTCAAAGGGAGACAGATCTTTTTACCCATCTCTCCAATGATTGAAATGAAAGCTTTCCACGAAGGGTTCAGTTGATTTGAGGGAAGAATGGAGGAGAACAGGGAGTGTTTTGCATACAAAAAAATAAGTTACAACCAGAAGTTTTAGCTGAACAATGACCAGGGCAGGACTGAAAGGAGTATAGGAATGGTGTATCATCTCAGGAGGAGGCTTAGACAACAGTTACATGGGTTACATGTTATTGCCTTGAGAGTGAGAAGGAAAATCTGAATTTAAAGTACTTAAGAGAAAAGCAGCAAAGTATTTGGGAGAAGGAAGGCAATGTTGGAGCGATGAGGAAAGAGAAGACACGTTTCATGGGGACCAGAAGAATGTGAAATAGAGAGAATTCAGCCAGTAGGAACTTTCTGTTGTTGAGGGCAAAGAAATCTAAAAGGAAAATGAGACTGTTATTTTGATTTAGCAAGTGCTGGTGCATAGGCAGATTCAGTATAGCTTAGTGAGAATATATGGGGCAAAATAGGAAAGAGTCAAAAATTGCACCAAGATGTGGGGGTTTTGGACAGAGAAGGGCTACTGGCATCCTCTTCAGTGTGACAGAGAGTGGTTGTGAGAGAAATTCACTTTTAGGTTTATTAGAAGGAGCATAACCTAGTAAATACAGTCCCTAAAACCAGAACGAGGCCAGCTGCATTTTATTGGAATAGCTCAAGGAAAACGTCCTTGTCTGTTCTCTCATCTTCTCTGAGTACATGTTTTCACTTGGTTAAGAAAAGTCAGTAGAGTTGCATTTAAAGGTGTTGTCACTTCACAGTCTGTCACAGGGCTTTTGCCAGCTCCCTTCCAAAGGAGCTGGTGCTTAAAATTGTGCCAGCTGGTTGATCTGGTCATCTAATCACTTTACTAGAAAATCTAAATATACAGCAGTGCAAACTGAAATATGTCCCCTGTCCTGTTTTGTAATTATTCTGCATTTGTATGAAGAACTACTTTTACATTAAAGCAGTACTGAAGCTCTCTCTATCTTTCTGTTCTATAGGTTGTCATTTTGTATTTTGAGCCAAGTGTATTTCGCTGTGTTCTCCTAAGATGGGTTCGTCTTCTGGGCTTTGCTACTGTTTATGGAACTGTGACGCTCAAGCTGCACAGGTATTTCACATATTATTAATTTCCATCTCTGTGGGAGTATGTGTGGTCTGTGTGGGTACTCAGAATCAAGAGCTGCAAATATTATCACAAACAGTAGCCTTTTCTGATTTTTAAAAATACTGTGTATTTCTCCTCACTGTTTCCAGTGAAATTATATGCTGCTAATGCCAGAAGAGGACTATAAATGCAGAGAGTATTAATAATAAAGGTTACTCAAGGAGGCTGTGTGTCAGAAGTGTTGAACTGGAGCTGCAGGATTTAGTGAAGAATGTACACATCATCTGTAAAATTGTGCAGGAAGCTCCTTTTCCCAGAAGGGAAATATATTTTACTTGGATATAGGACAATGTAAAATATTTAAGCTTTCCCTGTAAAGTGTTCATAGAATGAGATTTTTTCTTGAAGTGTTTAGATACAGTGATGGTGAGTGAAATAGAACACACTATAGTGTATATACTTATTTTATTTTCTTATGGCTCATAAGTCAAGGACTGCTTTCTTCAGGCACTGGCAGCAGACAGGCTGCACGCTCATGAACATCAGTGCCTGTCAGCAAAAATGTGTGGGAAGTTCTGGGTTATGCTGGGGGAAGTTCCACTGGCTTGGCAGCACGTTCAAATGAGATTCAGAGACCCAACTTCATATCCCACCTCTGCAGTCTCCTTATAAATTCAAGCATTTTCTGGACATGCTGGATAAAATCCTAATGCTTTACCTCCTTTAAACTTTAGTGAAAATAATTACCGATACTTTCTGTAAGTATTTTTTATGAAATAAAGAGAAATGCAGTGTGTATATGTGGTACTTAGGAATCTTAGATGAAGTAGGCTTGCTCATCTCTTCACCTTAGTTTCATTGCCATGTTGACAAAGATAAGGGCTAGATAAGGGAGGTTCAGTATTATGCTTGTAAACTGAATGAGGACTGAATATCTTGTGTTTAATTTTGCACTGTTGGCTTGTCACATCTGAGGTGGAGAAACCTGCTTTTCCATGAAAATAGAGCCTCTTCCTGAAGCTCCCTTTCAGTTGTGTCCCTGGTTACAAGTGTATACTCTGGCTCGTGAACTTTATCTATATAACGCTATGTCTGGCCACATCTTCGTGTTGAAATTCATCCAGACAATCCCATATCTTCATGTTATTTTCTGGGATGGATAATTTCTGATTGAAAAAGAATAATAACAGAAACACTATAGAAAAGATACGACAGAACAGCTGATTTTGTCTGTATGATGCTTGATGTAAAGCTCAGATATATAGAGAAACAGCCTAAGACTGTAGAAGATTCAGATCATCATTGCAGTTCTGGTATTGTAACAAGTTGTTCATATTATTTTACGTTGTGTTAGGAAGCAGTGTCATGACAGGGAAGTCCATCTTCTGTTCATATGAAGTGAGGAAAGGCTGGAAAACTGGGCAGAAAATCTTGCACTTCTGCTTTGCTCATTCAGCTCTTTGGCGTTACTCGGCATCTGTGCTGGCAGGCTCAGCAGACAGGGTAAAGATTGAATGAAAAATCAAGAATGAATTACATCCTCATGCTAGGAGTTCCTGGTCAGTGCTGTCACGAAGGCTAACAGCATACTGGGCTATATCAACAGGAGCCCAGTCAGGAGATTGAAGGAAGTGATTATCCCCCTTTACTCAGAACTCATTAGGCCACATCTACAATACTGTGTTAAAGTTTTGGACCCACCAAGGCATCAGTGAACTCAAGTGATTTCAGCCACCAAGGTGGTTGGGGGCTGGAGCACTTGCCCTGCAAGGAGGGGCTGAGGTAACCAGGTTTATTCAGGCTGGGAAAGAGACAGCTTCAGGGAGACCGAATAGTAGCCATCCAACATCTACATGGAGGTTACTGAGAAGGGAGAGCCAGGCTCTTTACAGCAGTATACGTTGGGAGAGCAAAAGACAATGATCATGAATTGAAATAGCAGTTTTCAACTTTGCACATGGAAAACGTTTTCACTATGAGGGTAATGAAGCAGTGGAACTGGTTGCCCATGAGGTTTAGAGTCTCCATCTTTGAAAGTTTTCAAGACCTAACTGGATAAAAGTCTGAGCAACCTGGTCTGAATTCAGCATTAACCCTACTTTGAGCACCAGATGACCTTCTGAGGACATTTCCAACCTGAATGATTCTACATATCTGTACGAAATATGAAAAGAAAAAGCCACTATTTCATATATTAATCTTGAATTACTTTCTCTTGGAATCGATCTTCCTTTTCCACCAGGGTTTCCTAATCATCCTTTCCTACATGTGTGATATTTTATTTCAGACAGGGAGTTTGTCTTGTGAAAAACTGAGTCAAATTAGATATATGTTTTATTGTATACTTTTGCAGCAGTTGTGCTAATCAAGAAAAATATGATGATTGTAGAAATTTGGAAGACATTTTTGGCAGATCTAATTTATTGCACAGCCATTACAGGATTGAAGAATGGCTTATTGCAGGTACTACAGATACTCATGACAAGCACTGATCCCCTCCTGCAGGTGGCCTACCTCTTTGCCTGGGGGAAGAATTGGTTGTTAGCAAGGACCTGATGATTTTTTTTAAGTTCAGTAGGAATACCAGTGTGTTATAAAAGCAGCTATTAATGATAACCAGAAAGTCAAAAGCTGTATTTCTCAGCAAATAAGGTGCTTCAAAGAGCACTGGGGCATGAAGGTTACCCAAAGCCAGGTAGGAGGCAGAGTGACTCAATTGAAGAGACAGAGAGTCAGAAGACTAGGCTGGAGACTCTCCAAACAACCAAACCCTATCTCATCAGATACTCTCAGAGAAGATGAGAGCAATACAAATGTCCATAACATGCTCATTGGGTGTACTGTGAAAAAGATGGCAGAATGAAGAGCATCAAACTGCATGAAGGTATGTTAACAGTTGTACCAGATCAGATGCAAGGTCACCTCGCCCCTACGTCATCTCGCCTGGTAGCCTGTCTTCCCCAGTCTGTGCACCCTTCTAAAGCGAGAGGAAGAACCTAGCACAAATGTACATCGAATGCAATAGGTTATGGTCCTTCCTCTGGCTTCTTCGTACTGAGATTCTGGCTGCACATTTCCCCTCACCTTTTTTAGTTTCACGCTCTCCTTCCAAGGCCTCACTGTGCTGCAGGGCCTTCTTGCTCTTCATTCTCCTCTGACCGAGTTGGCCATTCATGACACCAGAAGGAGGAAGGATAGAGAAGAGGTGGCTCTGGTGACTGTGTTGTCCATTGGTTCCTTGGACACCTTCAGGACTGCTCTGCTCAAGTCTCTGTTTTTTTCATTTTTGACCCTTTAATTCTAACATCCCTTCCTTTTATTTTACTTCTTGTCTCCTGGCAGCATTTAATTTCTTCATGGCTTGCTTTCCCCTTAGCTTCCCATTTCCCAGGGAGGGCTTTGAGGTTTCGTTAGGGTCAGGCATCAGGGAGAAATCTGTAAAGCAGCCGTCATGAGCAGGTGCTTAAGGAAGAGCAAAAGAACAGGGAAGACATGTACTGACTCATTCTTTGAATAACCCATCAGAGTCAATTTCTAAATTGCCTCATCTTAAAGCACTTCTTTTTTATTCATTGTACATTTTTAAAATAATGAGGTGATGTTTACGGGGGTGGGGGTGAGGGAGAAAGGAAATGAGCTTAATTTAGGAAATCAAACTGTAGAGCTGTGAACATAAAACTCAGTACTTTCCTCAACAATGAATTCCTCAAAATAATTCTCTCAGGAAATGATAGTTCAAATTTAACCTTTTGGGTTTAAAGGAGCTGCTGATGTTGCCTCCTTCAGTATATTTCTCTGACTGAAGATTCTGTCCTTTTTCGAGCTCTTTATTTAAAAAAACAGGTTATCTGTTTGAAAAACAGGTTATATCCTCATTTTAAATATTTTGTGAACCTCTATCATCTTGGTTTCAGGATTAATACAGAATCCTTGGTTCAGGATTAAAAGCAGAAGAATGGAGGAAAGCTATATGCACGTACATACAGATAGATATATGTGTGTATGTATATATGTGTATACATAGGATAGCTTATATACATTTTGGCTAAATGAGTAGTTACAGACTGTCCTTCCTTGGGATCTCTACTTTAAGGCAACCTCCATTTCTCACAATACTAAGACAAAAAGAGAAGAGTGGGCAAGTGAGGCAGATGAGAAGGTATGGAGAATGTAATGTTCCAGGTACAGTAAGCAAGACAATGATATACAACGGCTCTTCTATAAGTGGTGTTGGTGGATTTGGGAGGGTAATGGGTGTGGGACGTACAAGAATACACTAACTCTGTGAGACAATTCTGCACTTCATCTAAATGCTATGCTAAGATTACATGGATGTGTTTTGCCATCTGGTATAGTGTAACACTTTCATGCCATCTGAGCAAATCAGTGGTCCTTCCTACAGATCCTTGTAGGTGCTAAAGAAATTGGAAGCAGGAGAGAGAACAACAGTCTCAGTAGTGTGGAGCGCAGCATGCAGAGTACCCATACAACATGGCTCCTATCTTAAATAAAGGGAGATTCATGCTAGCAGAGAAACAAAAAATGATGTCATTCTGTTTCTTGAAGCACTTGGGAGGAGGTATATGTTGACTGTGAGAACAGGAAAGAAGAGGAGAAGGAGACATGGTGTAACCTCCTGTCATAGTCAGGGGAGGTGGCAAAGAATATAAAGATGATCCTATCTAGATGTGTCTAGTAGGAACTCAGTGCAGAAAGCTAGAGAAAGTACCACAGCTGGAGCCTGTACAGCAGAGGAGGGAGTAAACTGAGGCAGAGTGGGGATCATGGCATAGGCGTGGAAAGTTTTTTGAGGGTTTTTTTCCAGTGCTGGAAGAGGTTTAAAGAAAGGCCTGTGGCCTCTGAGATGGTTGTTACGTTTCAGAATAAGCTAAGTAGCCTTATAAATCTTTGGTGGAATTGTGCAGAGGAACTGTGGCTGACTGGCAGTTGCAGAGCAATTCTTTTTAGTGTTGTAATGTCTCTGGAGGCATCCTCCCTACCTT